GAAATCTCTCCCTAAAGAAATAATGTACAGGCTGAAATAAAAATTTTAATCTTTCATTTCATATAACACAACCTTTAAGTACTCAAACTCCATTATTATTTACATCAGGAAATGCTTATGGGCATGCATATATTAATATATTATGTACTTTTAGAAATCCCATCACTAAAGTCTTTTGGCCCTAAACATGTTTCCATAACAAGGGAAAGGTTAACTATGTTTGCCTAGCTATTGTGATTTTCCTCAAGATTAATGAGTTATAATAACTTTCATATACTGAGTCACTTCTTCTGAGCCATGTGTTGTTCCATTACTCATCATTGTACATATAATATTTCTAAGAATAATATTTCTATGCCTTACAATATGTCACTAAGGAGTACCTATCTTAATTTTATAGATGAGGATAATGAGATTTGCATAGCAATAATAAGTAGCCCACAGTTGCAAAAGACTAGCAATTAAATGACTGAACCAGAATTCAAGCCCTACTCCAAGGCAGAGCAGAGCACTCTCTGTTCTACTACACTGTCTCCCTCATTGAGCCAGCATCACGAGGGGATGTGCAACTGCAGTGGGGGACTTCATCACCATCTGACTAGAACTTGTCTGAAGCAAGCCAAATACCTGCAGGAGAAATAGTCCCTCCTTCATTTATTTTCAAGTAATGCTTAAGACAAATAAAAAAACATCCACTGCTGTCCAAAAAATGGATAGGCTATTAATTATTCATCTTTTCCCACTGCTATACAAAAAGGATGAACTATCAATTATTAATATTTTTGTCCAGTTTCTTTAGTGCAATCTATTTTCTAGCTTTCATGCTTCTTTCAAATTTAGGTGCCTCCCTACAGTCCCTGGATTTTCTCTTAATCTTAAAAGGCCAGACTTTATCCCAGTCTTTCCTGCCACTGGTGCCTGATAAAAAAGAGATCTTTCTTCCTATATTCTCCAGCATGGCATAGGATAGCCAAGTTAGCTATTTTAATTTTTATGTACCATATACCCAGAAGCACAAGGTTGAGGATGAACACTTAGTGATTTGATACTGTCTAACAGAATGAGACACCTTTATGAAAGAACTCTCATTGCCATCAAGTGATGCTGATGCACAGCAACTCTGTAGGGCACGTGAGTTTCCATGGCCCTAACTGTTTGACGGGAATAGAAAGCCCGTCTTTCTCCCCAGGAAAGAACTAGTCGATTGTAAAACATAACTGGCAAGCATTTTTTAAGTTTCTGTGTATTGGACCCTCTACTATTAGAAGGCAATGACAACAGCAATTAAAATCAGTCATCTTAACAACTGCAAACATTTCAGCAACACAAGATTAAAGGTCTTAATTTCTAAAGTTCACGGAGGGCTCGCTCTATGCCAGGTACTGTTCATACTTCATTCAAATTAGTATGTCCTTTATTCCTCACACTGATCTTATTCTAGTAGATACCATTACTGTCTCCATTTTACAGATAAGAAAACGGAGGCAGGACTTGTGCCTAATCGGTAGAAGTGAAATCAGGGTTAAAATCTCAGCAGTACCACAGAGCAAAGAGCAGAGCTATGCATCCGCTCCAGGTCGAACCTTACCAAAAAGTGATGGACACAGGGCAAGAGCACGATATCCGACAGTGTGAAGTAAAGTCCTTCCGCAAACACGTGCTCCAGAGGTGGAAGGTCAGAGGCTTTCACTTTCCGGATGCGAGCAGGTTCCCTGTTGGTAGGGGCTGGTTCCTCCTGTGCCGTGAGCTTTGAGAATGCCACATCCAGTTCCAGGGTCTGGGATGGAGAGTCCAGCTCTGCAGATGTTTTCTGATTAGGGACCTTGCTCTTTGTTTTGCCCTTACCAAGGGAAAGTCCAGCTCCCGCAGCCTTCTGTTGCTTGAGCTTCTGCCGACGGAGTTTGTCATCGTTGTGCACTCTAACAGGCTCACCGAGCTTTTCCTCCAGCTGCAGGATTTCCACAGGGATCGTTAAAGGCTGCTGAGAAGACTCGTGGAGGAAGTTCTCAATAGCCAGAGGGATGGTGATTTCACAGAGCCTGGTCCACTGACTAACCTAGAAAACAAGAAATGAAAGGATTCTTTACTTTCAAGGTGGCTGGAAGACAAAACACTTTCTGGCGGGG